TTTTGGTATATGTTTTGAATAATTGCATTAACCAGAATACTAATTATATCAATTGTCTGTAGATATGCATTTTTTTTTTTATTGAAATACCTAATACATTTATATTTTATTCTAATCTATTTCTTGGCATGTAAATTCAGGGTAAGAAAAACACATTAATACAGTATCCCTTAATGGACAAACAGGCAAATTTCCCCTTTTTTACATTTGAAATTTATATTTCATAAAAGCAGCTTTTGATATAAACCTGATGTACTCAACTAAACTCTCCGTTTTTAATTTTTCATTGCTTTGTGTAGCTTTTTAGGAAGTGAGACGCTGCTCCAGATTTGCATTCAGTTTCAGAAAAACTCCCAGTAAACTTCTGTACCGTTGTGTCCTGCTGTCATCATTTACTCCATGGTCTCTTTATCTTCAGAGAGTAAAGGTATCAGTTCTTTCATGCTTGTTTTGTGTGTTTTAGCAACCACACTTTTATTATAAACATTGAATATATTTTTTATGCTGTATATATCAACTATGTGTTTATCTGAGAATAATTATAATAAAAAAGTATATTACAATGTGTAGTTTGTAATTATTTTTAAATTAATCACAAAGCTGAAAAAATAATAACTCTGGCCAGATGTAGGGTGGTAAAACAAAATAAACAAATAGACAAAAATAAAATATTGTTTCATCTTTTCTTGCTTATTGAATAAGTAAATATTTAACAAATAATGAAAAGAATTAACTATATAACTCTTAAGCTTGTCATAATCTACCAATACTTCAGTTATATACATTAAGGGCAAACAGTCTTTTAAAGCAGTGGTCTGCTACTCCAGGCCTTCCATTCTTTAATTTTTCGGGACATCCCCATTCCAACACAGCTGAATCAAGGGGTGTGTGGGATTTTAATGTGTCTGCGTCCTCAGATGTACCAAACTTGGAATGGGTCATGAAAATGAGGCTGGAAGTGTTCAGCTATAGATTCAAACAGGTCAAGCTTTCTCCCGCTTTTACTGCCCCTCTCCAGCATACCATCTGTCGCCTAGCATCTATTACATTTCACGCACAAAGCAGGCAATAAATGAATGTTTTTGTGTGCTAATTTAATTGTGGAGGAGCTTCAGCAGCAGTACTGTTATATCAGATATCAGATTTAAGTCCCCACACTGGAAAGAATGTGCAGCCAAATCCATTTGCAACATATCTGACACATTGACCATTTAAATTGACTATTTTCATTAATGTAAGAAAAAGATATTAACATACTTGCATTACACTTAACTGCACTTACAATGTTTCCCACTGTTTAATGCCATTTCCATTTTTCCTCTGAGCATGGAGAAGCCAGCTTGAAGTATACATTCATTTCAGATTAATATGTGAATTCCTTCCATGATTTTCCAGTGGGAGAACTTGCAAAAATGCAAATACAATCAAACACTTGTATATCTATCAAAACTTATTTTCCTTGCTGTTTACTTGTACTGAATAGGCTGTATACAATCCAGACAGTTGTTCTAGTAAATATTTAATTAATGAAACAATTCAAGTTAATCAGCTTAACACAAATCAATCAAGTTTTCTCAAATAAAACCAGTGTTACTTCACTCAGGACAAGGTCTAGAGAGAGCTACCATGGAACCCAGATGGTGCCATGGTGCATGCTGAGACAGCGGTCAGTCTGAAAACCGCACGTCTGCTATGATGCATTCTTGGTTAAAAGGGCAGTCTTGTATTCTTGGCAGTTAGAGCAGTGCTCAGGCTGAGACTGAGGATGTGTCACGAGTAGATGAGAAGGCACAAGTATTATATTGAGAAATGGCCATCGTGTAGCCTTGCAAGAAGATCATTCCTGCTTACAGCTATCAACATAAACAACTTGTCAATAAAAAAAAACTGATTAGTTATTATGGTATTTAAACGTCCCTTTGATATAGATAAATTATTGTGAAATTGAATGGAATTGCAGTGGTTTATATAGCTATGCATTACAACAACTGTCCCAAAATCATTACAAAATGAAGGCAAAAATCCTACCAGCTGCAGAGCATCCAGCACCTGGGGCAAAAAATATTTGGGGAGCTCTAGAGTTTCTCCAATGTACACCATCTCAGGAAGGCTCAATTCTGGATGCTCAATATCTTCACATGGAATAGTTTTGATACCAATTATAAGTACTTAATATTGAGAGGGTTTTTGTTATGGGGAAAATAACATGGGTTTTATTTCATGTCTTTTTTTTTCAGAGAAGATCTCTGTTCATGGAGATGCTTTTAAAGAGTAAATCGTTTAAATAGCATGCAATGTGATACAGGATATTACAGTCTGCCTTTTATTCAGCTGGGAGAGGTTTTTGAAATGGTGAAAACCAAATCTACATCTGTGCTCTTTATTACTTATATTAGGTTACAATAAAGTGTCCAGATAAATCTTTTGTTATATCTTCTTTTAAAGCTACAATGTTTATTTTTATGCTGGTGGAGATTCTCAGTCATCCAGGTCATAGTCATTCCAAAAAGGTAAAAAAAAAAAAAACTATGTTTCTAAGTTTGAAGATGTTATGCAGATAGACTGGTATTGAGTATTTCAGGCTGACAAAGAACCCAACGACTGCCCATTCGCAACAGGCAGACCCGTTCATCAGGTTCAATTTGTATGTTTTCTAAGCCAAAACAAGGCTTTGTTTTGGTCCACTCTATAAAGCCTTGAACTCAACTCTATTTCTCACAGTTTGAATCAAAAAAGCTTCATGGATGGGAAGCGAAATGTCTTCAAACTTGGAAACAAAGTCAAGTGGATCGCTTTTAACTTTTTTGGAATTTTTAATTTTCAACAACATCTAATGGTCAGTCTACAGACTGCAGCAGCATAAACTGCCCCCACCTCACACTGCCTTTCTCCTCTGACAATACAGAGGCCATTATGGTACAAGAGGGCTTCTGCAATGTTGATGCAACTATCTTGTCAAGTGATGACTAGATTTATTTACATTAGATTGCAGGATCAAGCTTTTGCAAAGCCGTTCTAATTCAGCCCTAGAAAGACCGTTTTCTATCCTACATGGACCAGCTGCTACTTCTCTCATCCCGCTCCCCATCTCAGTCTGGGAAAACGCTCCTTTGATCCTCAGCAGCCCTCTGTCCATCTTCAGCAGTTAGCCTCCAGAGCCTTGCCTTGTCCTGCTATTGTCTCTTTCTGCTCTGTCATCCTGTTGGCTCCACCGATGTCATACCATCCTCCTCATGTAGCTGCTCTCCTTTGCTTTCTGATCTCTATCTGCGCTGCAGACTAATCCAATCTCTGTTCACCTTCAATTCTTCGCAGTTGGATTGAAGGTGTCATCTGCATTGTTTCCCGGCAGGCCAGTCCGGCCAGGCCTGCTGCAGTGCTCCTCAGCTCACTTCCTGATCTAGCAGCGGCAAGTTGCCACCTCTTCCACTATGGTTCCTTACTTTCAGGGGATGACATAGCTGGCTGGCTCTTCCCAGTTCTGGAGCTCTCTCAACTGCTGTTCTAACACTGTTTCCCCTCTGCTTCTGCCTAAGCTCAGGAACACCGTTTCCCCTTACCTCTGTTATTCAGGTGATTCGTCCCCCTGTTTTGGGCACTCTGAACAAAACAAACATGGATAGAGGGCAGGAGAAAGATGCAGGTCTGCTCAGAAAAAAACGAAAAACGCACCAACCGGCCGTTTAAATTTTTTTGTCTTCATAAAAACCAGGCGGTAACCAGGTTGTAGCTGGTGTAAGTCTAGTTTAGATATATCATTTTATAATAAGTATATATATATAACTTCAGTATATAACTTGCCCAGTCCCATTTGAGCATAAAGCGATCTCTGCAGTCACTAGTTTGTCAGCTCTGCAGTGCTGTAGCAATGCAAACCCATTCCTTTATAATTTATATATAGCAATTTCTAAGGCAGTGCAAACATAAAGAATGAGACTTTAAGTTCATAGCTAATAATAAATAATATACGTATGACTGTATATGCAATTTATGCCAGTAAATCCACTGTACTTGAAAGTGTCAAGTGTGTCTGGAACTGCAGTCAATTTCCATTCAGGCCTGGAATTTTCTCAAACATTCAGGCCATAACCTGGTTATTGCAAATCGAATAACCAACAGCATTTTCAAAAAGAATCATGCATTTTCATGCCTCTGAGGTCAGGGAAGAAACCACATTCTCTGTTGGACTTCACTAAACCCCCAGCCCTATTTCACATAACTTTTGTCATTTTTTTCCAACAGCCAGGATAGGGTGGAGTACTGATTCTGCAGGGTTTAGCACCCCTGTCTTTCTTTGTTCTTTGTACAAAACATAACATTATCAACTAAATATATATTATTCAATTTACTGCATGTGTGCAGCTCCTATCTTTTGATAATTGTGTTTTTAATGATTATTCACAGTTTGTTTCTATTTAATAAGGTTTTTTTTTCTGGAAATTTGCTCTTTCTTGTTTCAGATATAATGTTGTTCCATTTATGATGATGCTGCTTTCACCCACCTGTACATTCCTTTGGAGCCTTTCCAAAAATGAAAAAATTACAATAAAATCAAAAATCATCCACATGTGCATTTGACGATGCAGATCTAACTAAAACTATTAGTTAATACTGAAAAACGAGGCTCTGGGTAGTTAAATTGTAGACACCTACTATAAAGAAGAAAAGGAGAAAAATAAAGGCAGTAACAGATATATAATAATATTACATAAGGATATATGTTATAATCTCCCGTTTTACTCTTTTAGGTTTTTTATTCCTTTTTTATCCTTAATGAACACTACCTTATAGGAATATTTATAAACATTTTTCACAGAGGATACAAGACTTATTTTTCTTTATTACATTTGCAGCCAAATGTCCACATAAAGCGTGTGTCAGTGCCACCTGGTGGAGGAGAAAAGTATTACAAATTCAACTCGGACTCAAAGTTGCATATCGGTTTCAGTTGAGGCGGTGTTTCACGGTGTTTTGGCCTAAAAACGGCGTTTTGCTTATCTTCTTACCAAACGCCTGGTAAGGGTGGTGGTTTGTGACACTTTTGATTTGCCATAATGAATGGGGTGGCTGGATTTGGTGGAGGTTTCTGTGTTCATACATTGCGTGTAATCGTGTAGCAGCGTTGCTGGTTACCGTGGCAACGAGACAGTTGTGACAACGGTCGAAACGGTGGCGCCGGACTCTCTAGTTGTTTATGGTTTTCTGCTGTTAAAGATGGAAGATTTTGATCGACCCCAAAGCAGCCGACAGGCAGAAGCGTCCAAGGCTTTTCTAATGAAGAACAGTTCAAACAGCAATATGAATCTGTAAGTGTTCATGAGTTTCTCCAACTTTCTGTGGTTGACACAGCGCAAAACTGTAAATGAAAATCTCCCTTTTTCCTATTTTTTTGTCCACAAAAAAAAACAAGCTGAATTATGTGAGTATTTTTGTTTGATATTTAATCTAGTTCCATCTGAATTAAAGTTTAATGTGATAATAATTTTTTAAAAGTTCAGAACGTAAATTGTTCAGTTAATCAGTTCCCAAACGGATACAGTTTATTTCTAAAGGCCTTTTATCACACTTGAAAAACAGTGCAAAAAATATGTATATATATATATATATATATATATATATATATGTATGTAAATATAAGATCGCCTACTGAACAAATACAGTAAGAATCAATTCATACTATTACTACATTCATATTCAGCAACTGCTTGAAGAAACACCCTTAGAGTTAATTTCATTGTCCCTTGGGGATGAATAAAGTACTTCTAAACTGAAACAAACTGAGCATTTAACAACGTTCTGTATCAATAAAAATGTATTTCCCTCAAAGGCCTTGAAAACAAATGTTGATTTTTCTTCCCCATCCTTGTTTCGATTCAATTTAATTCATTTTATTTATATAGCACCAATTCACAACATGTCATCTCAAGGCACTTTACAGTTCACCAGATCATCCAGTCAAATTGATTCAAATTGTTCTACAGTATCTAAGGAAAACCAGTTGATTGCATCGACTCATTGACTGGAATGCAATCCTTCACACTAAGCGTTCTTGTGGAGAGGAAAAACTCCCTTTTAACCGGAAGACACCTGAAGCAGAACCAGGTTCAGTGTTTCAATGTAACCATTATTAAGAACCTGAACATATGTTCTATGGTAAGGTCAAATATTACTACAAGTATTCACAAAAACTACACCTATTGCTGTCTATTAATTTAATCTTGGCATTAGTGGTGTTGTATTATTATTATTATGCACAAACTGGAGTCGAAATTCAGGATCAAATGGACTGATATCAAAATTCATTTTTAATCAGTGTTTCTCTGCAGTCTCCACAAAAGATGGCTGTTGTGAATTCAATTTGCCTACCAACAGATGGGGACATTTATCTCCTTAGAAAATCAAAAAAATGTTAACAGCATATATTGATATAAAACTATAAATTATATATTATATACTGGCTAAAGTTTATAGCTTATTTGTATATGACCAGCAACTGGTCTCGTTGTACCACTCTTTTTCAACAAAGGTAAATGAATAGGTTGTTAACAGAGCATTTAATAAATTATATCAGGATTACTGGGGGGAAAAAAACAAAAAAAACTCTTGTCTAGACAGAGACTGGAAATAGAGATTCTCCTATCTACTGAGAGTCCGTTTTAAAACATTTAATTTCAACAACATACCCACCTTCAAGGGAGAAACAAGTTCCCCCATGTTTTGCCTTTTAATATCTTGCTCACACCAGATTCCTGATTTGGATGACATGTTGATATCTCATCTTCTGTAGCTCTGCAAGTGAGAGCCTGCCTGCATGGACACCATTATTTGATTGGTTGGATTTCGATTGCTGACAATCATTGCATGGTCCAACTCCTGTTTGCTTATCGCTGTGGAGTTAGAGTTGATGCTATCATACTTCAACAAACCAACTTTCATTTATACAAGACAGACTGAAATGTTAGGATGATTCTACATTGTTTTCAAAGCAATTCAGTCTGATCTACTTTGTCAGAAACTCCAGAAGACTCAGGTGGAGGCATAAACAATTGCCTGGATCAAAGACTACATTACAAACAGACCGTAGCTTGTGAGACTGAAGGATAGACTGTCTAATGAAGCAGTCAGCAGCACAGGATCACCATAGGGGACAGTACTCTGACCATTTATTTGTACTCTGTACACCTCATTATGGAGGACATCCTCTTCATAATATTTTGAAACAATGCTGTCTTCAGAAACAGTATTCCCCAGGTCAGGGATCACAGAAGATTCTTCCAGAAGATCCGTCCTGTCTACTGCTATCAACACCTACATCAACTCTTTAAAAAAACAAAAAAACTATAAGTTAAAGCAGCATTTCATTTCCCCTTTTAGCTTAATATTTTTTTAATGAATTTGTATTTATTTAATGTTTGTATTTGAATTAGAATCTGACAGCCTAATTAGGTTGTATTCTAAACAAAAAAAAATAAGTTAGGCTAAGCAGAACAGAATTAGAATGGATATAACTTCACATTAATAAACCGAATAAAATTGAAAGTCCTTTTGTCTTCCAGCTATGATCATCTGACACAGCTCCTTACCAAAGTGATGGATGAGCATCCCAACAATGCGGTGGATGTCTTTGAGGAAATGAGCTATGAAGTAAAACGAGCTTCACTGAACAGCATGCAGAGCAACCTGCGAGATCTTCCACAACTGACAGCTACTGAGCTGCTGGCAGAGCAGCAAAGGTCATTGTTTTTACAGTCAGACAATGAACCCCTTGAAGATGAAACGGTATGGATGTCTTATACTTGCGCAAATAAATTGATCAGTTTTGGAAGTGGAATTCACTTTAAGCTTGTTTTCTAACTCTAGGGAAAACCTGTTCTTCCTAATGTGAGTGAGATCAGTTTCTATCTGGAGCAGGCTGAAGTGGGTTTGGGAAGAGAGGAGATGCAGAGGATTTTCCTTGCACTGAAAAAACTTGTTGATTCAGAGCGACTGACACATTGCCGGTTCTGGGGAAAAATCTTGGGGATAGAGAACAACTACATTGTTGCAGAGGCGGAGAACAGAGAGGGAGAAGAGAAGGACCACTATACCATTGAAGATGAACTTAAGGAACAGATAAAGGAGCCTGAAAGTCTGGAGAAAGAACCATTTGAGGTAAGAGCAAGGAAGCTTGAAACATGCATCCATTGTCTATATCTGGGTGGGGTCAATAAGTTAGATGTTGCCTAAGCTGTTCTAGGTATATGCCTCCTTACTGCTTTAGCCTTGAGAGAAAAGCCCCGTTTACACTATCCTTTTGAAATCGTGCCAAGATCGTTCCAAGCACAGTAAATTAGATAACTGTTAAGTGTAAATGGCACGCCAAACTGAACCGGACACTGTGCCAGACACAACCGAACCCAGCTAAACTGGTACTAGTTCATCAGTAGGGCTCAGTCGTGTTCACTTGTGGCTCGGTTCTCCGATAACAAAGAGTGCATCAGCAGACCATCTCCTTACAGTCAGCCTCCGTAATCATGACATTGCAGACACTAGCTTCCGTACCGTGCCACACGATTTCTAGTGATGATTCCGCTTAGCAGTATGACGAGCCTCAACTCCTGTCATTGTTTTCTGCGTATGTAAGCCCTGATTAGACTAATGTTTGTTGTATCCGATTCCCAAAAGTGGATTCTGTCAAGTAAATTCACCAAAGGCTGCCTTCTTCATCTGGCTCTCTGCAAACAACGAAATATGTTACAGGCGCCACCATGTTGGTTTGCTTGTTTACCTCTAGGGAGAAGTAGTACCGTAGATCACCACTAGGAGGCGAGGAACCGTGCTAGCGTGGAGTGTAAATGGTCATAAGGAACCAAGCTCGGCACAGATCAGTTTTCAGAGGGTAGTATAAATGGGGCTGAAGATAACCTTCAGTCCTTGAGGATCAGTGACTTTCAGATGAACCTCTTCTTTACCTAACCTTGTTAAACCATCATATCAATAGCAGATCTCTGTGTAACTTGACTACTGGATATGTTGAGAAGTTTGTTTAGAATAGTGATACATTTTGGACAGGTTGTCAGTCCCTTTGAAAACAGATGAACATATTTTTTAGACCAACGCATGCCTTCTAAAATTGTTTAAGAAAAAGGTAAGCTACTTGCTAAATGGATTTTTCACACATGGCACATGATATAAATGAAACTGTAACCAGCACCAGCCCGTTCTTCGTTTTTTCAAACTTTGTAAAACATTTTTCCTTGCTTTCTTTTTTTTCAAGGGAAGTCCATTTCCTCATTCAGCTCATAAACCCCAGCATGAGGTACCAAAGGAAGCCATTGGAATAGGTGCTAACAAATTTGCTTACTATGTGTGCAAAGAACCAGGTCTTCCTTGGGTAAAGATCCCTTCAGTTACTCCTGCACAGATCACCATTGCTCGCCAGATCCGCAAATTCTTTACCGGAAATCTGGACAAATCGGTTGTAAGCTACCCACCTTTCCCTGGAAATGAGGCCAATTATCTGAGAGCACAGATTGCTCGGATCTCTGCTGCCACACAGGTCAGCCCCTATGGCTTCTACCAAACTGTCGGGGATGAGGGTGAAGAGGAACAGGAGCTATATTGGGCTAGCATTGAGGTCAATCCTGATTTTGAGGGCGTTCCAGTACGTGAACTGGCAGAATCATTGAAAGTATGGGTACATCATCGCCAACACATCTTGCAACAGGTAAATTGTGGCTCTGTTTAGAAACATGGCTGTTTCCTGAAAGTGTAGACACATTTCCTGTGAACACTGATTTCAGGGCCGCTGTACCTGGGAGAACATGGCTGAAAAAACTGGTGAAGACACTAATGAGGAGACAGAAGATGAGAGGGAAGAAGAGCTTGATGAGCCAGAAGTTGGACCTCGTCTGCTGAATCCTCTGTCTCTAGATGCAGGTCAGAGAATGCTTATTAATGCTATACAAGATGTTGTTATATATGCCACAATCATTTTAACTTTCTCTGCATCATGATTTAGGGTGAATTTTTACAGGTTGATATACAGAGTAATTTTAAAATAGAATTGGTCTTAAACTTTTCTATGGGATTGTAAGGCAGTTAAACATATATGCAGCTGCAAAACAAATCAGAAGGTTTTTTTTTTTAGTTTTGGTTCAATAAATGGTTTGAGGGAGATATATAAGTAGGTCTAATAAATACCTTGAACATTGTCTGATATCATTGTGGAGCAATACAGGAATTCTAATTGGAGGCAGGCTGGATTGAAACATGTTTGATGCATGTTGACGAGCTGGTCAAGCCTAACACCCATAATCAGAATAAACATCGCAATAAACATACATAAAGTTAAAAGAATGGTACCATTATGATACTGACATGCACTCAGATTTCATAAACTAGTCAAAAATCTACTATTCCTGCTTATGTTATGTGTAGTTTTGGTCTTTTCCTCAGGTAATTCTTTTTATTTTTAATTTCTCTTTTCCAATGAAAGTAAAGTTCACATTTCATCTAGAAATCAAGCTCCATAGGAAGAATGGAGAGGCACAGAGTTCACGTTACTCGAAGTCCATGGACTTGGAGTATGGAGTTCCCACAGCCAGGGATGAATTTAGAAGCTATGTCAAATCAGTGTGTTTTCTTTACAGTCAACTCAGCCATATACAAGGAAATTTTTATAGTACCTTTTCCTTCTGCTTAGCTGCTGAATGGCAATCTAACTGATGCCCCTAGTGGCTAAAAGTTGCACACAGTTGCTTCAAAATATGCATTTTTGGTTTTTTCATTGTCTTTAAAGGGATGGTTCAGGCTTTAGCACATGAAGTTGTGTAAAATGTTCTTACC